GCTGCGTAGTGCTTAGTTGCTGGCTGCGGTTAAACCACGACAAAGTAAAAACCAGAAAACTGTATGAAAGACAATTCTGGATCTACTAGTAATAAACTGGATGAATAAACCAATAGATTTTAGTACTGTGAATGGATCATGTGATCATGAACCATGTTTGTGATCTGAACTTGCAAGCTAACTACTTACTGTTTCATAATATATTCTTGCCATAAATTTTTCTGTTAAAATAATCAGGAGTTCATGCTGTGCATTATGGATAACTGGCCAACCCTATCACCATCTCAGCTCAGGGAACAGAAGTGACAGCTGAATTAAATCCAGGCAGGCTGACAAACATGAAACATTCAGAAGCTAATACAGAAGGATGGGAATTGAGGTTCCTGCTCTAAGTTTTGTCTAAAAGCTCAGCTGATAAGGTGCCCAGAAGAGATCTGGAATGGCTTAGGTGTACTGTTAACTTAGAAACGGACAAAAGAAATGAGACCATTTAAACACAGTGAGCTCATAGCACTATATGTCATCTTCTATCACATTGGAAATCTTGCAATGGAGATTTTATCACATAATTCACACAAGCCAATACTATTTATCTTCTTTCACTACTATGTTTTAAAATAATCACCAATACCCATCAACTATATAGCTTTAACTAAGCCTTCTGTTACAGAATAGCACCAGACAAAAGGAACTTCTGGAGATGATCTAGTTAAATCAACATCGAATCAGGTAACTCTGGACCTCGTCCAGCTCAGTTTTGAAAATATCCAAGGATTGAGATAACACAACCTCTTCAGACAATCTGTTTCAGAACTTAGCCATTCTCACTGTGAAAATTCTTCAACAGGAATTCCCTTTGCTTTTACTTGTAATTGTTGCCTCTTCTTTGAGGTGTACAAGAGAGGGGTAACTCATATGGCTCCAATAGCAATTAGATCACTCCTTGCCTTCTCTTCTGCTAACTTTAAAACCTCAGGTCCTTCAGCTTCCCCTGTACATGCTCAAAAATCTGCACCCTTCCTTGTGGCCCATCACTAGGCTACCTCCATTTTGTCAGCATGGGACGCAAAACCAGACACAGTATCCAGATGTAGGATCAGAAGAACTGAACAGAGGAAAACACTTGAACTCCCTGAGCTCCTGATGATGTTCTCGCTAATGCAGCCCTATTGTTACCCATTATACATCCAGGAGTAGTTTAAACCAGTCACCAAATACCTTAGAAAGTTCATCTGGATGAATACTAGATTCAACATATTTATTAATTCAAAAGTAGTCAGTTCATCTATCATCTTTTAAGAATACAATCCACATCTTTGAACAAGATACTATAATTACACCATGTTTACTAACAATTCTGGAAACACACTACTTAAATGCAAAAAAGCCTTCATGATTTAAAGTGTTAATATCAACATAAAGTTCCTCCTGGAAGTTTACCGGTATTTCCTGAGTGACACCTCTAAGACAAAAGTAAGAATACTTTCCCAGAATAAAAAGATACTATAGAGACTAAAACCACTGTAGTTTATTGTTTTATACCTGGCCAACACCGAACATCTGAACAGAAATTTCGGAGGGGATTAGGATGCTGTCTGTATAAACAAGATGAGCGCAAAGCACTGAAAATGTCCACGAAACCTGTAAAAAGATACAGCAAAGTGTAAATACACCCTATATTAAATGGCAACTAAACATTACTTCTCACATAAGTTGTTTTTACTTTCTTAAATATTAATTCCATTTTGCTACAGTCCTTCAGGCACTTGTAATTAAACAAATTAACCATTACCAGTACATAGATAGTTAACTTCTTTGCACTAACCTATGTCAGGCACTTTGCAACATACCAGAATTGTTTCTAATTAGAACTTCCAAATAATATTCGTACCCAGAACCTTGAACTTGAAGCTGCATCTGGGAGGGAAAACTCTGCACATCTGTACTGAGCTGAATAAAGATATGTAGACTAGACAGGAATCCAAAGACTTTCATGAAGCTGAAGGACCAGCATTCAACCAATCATTCAGTTTGAAAGGCTTTAAAGAATAGATTGGTCATGGGCATTTTAAAACAGACTATGTATAACATATGAAAACATTTTAACCTATACTAAGTCTACTTAATTGTACAGTCCTCATGCAATACAGAAACAATAAATAAATAAATAAAAGCATCACAGTGAAAAAGTTATTAGCAGATACTATTTCAAGCATGCTATAGACTGCAAGACAAGAGGACTGTCATTTATCTGTTGTTTAGTTATAAAAGCTCAAAAAACTCATCTTCATTTAGCAGGTAAGACTTATTTAAGAAACATCAGAGACCTGGGGGGGGGGGAAGAGAGGCCAAGCCTACATATGCTCTCCTCCACAGTAATTCAGAAGCTAATATAATACAAAAAGGGTGGGGTTTCTTTTTTTTACATAATCTGAGAAAGTTATTACATCAGCTAGATATATCTAGGACAGCAGAAAAGAACCTGAAAGTTCCTAGTAAATTTTTTGAAGTTACATGATTATAATAACAGCTTACAAGCTAACAGCTGAAATACTGAGGAACTATGGGAAGGAGAAAAAAGATTAGCTATTAATTCTATAGTGCTGTATATTCCGCAGTCTTCTATAATACTGCATATTGGCTAATCTAATACAACATAATTATGAACACATTAGTTTTAAAAAAAATATTCTCCTCACTTTATGCACAAGTATATGCACAACATACATGTATCAATAGTAACAGTCATCCATAGCATGCAGTGTCACCTACAGCAAAAGTATGTTCTTGAAGATTTAGCACCTCCCTTGCCTGTGGCAGTTTTCCACCTATAACCTTGCCTTTTCAACTGTGAATGAAACAACCAGTCTGGTGACATTGCATATTAATCTATCAAAGCTCTGAAGCATTTGCAACTTCTTTCTTCACATTCAGGAAACTGCCTCTGGGTTAATTTCTTTATATTTCACATCACAATGCAATTTAATACTACTTCTCTAATAGTAGCCCTGACATATTACTCTTATGCTCTTTCTCCCACCTGCAATACTATATAGACAGTATCTCAAATGTCAGCTGTGTGCTTCTTTTTCTAACACATTCTTGAGCATCTACACTGGCCTTGCTTCCTGTATTTTTGTCTAAACCCAACAAAACATCTTTAATTGTAAAGAACCACTCCTGGTTTACTTCAGCAATGAAATACTCTGCATGGACTGTTAACAGTTTGCCACCCTGAATTCCTTTCCAATTAATGTCCTCCTGTAATGGTTGCTTCAAGCAAAAAAGGAATAACTTAATGTAAACCAGAGATGTTCATAACTGTGTTACATTAGTAGATTAGCAAAATCTAATTTCTTCTATTTAGTGAAACAAACCGGTGAAAAAATTCGCAGCAAGAGACAATGCACTTGTAGTACAGCTGAGTTCAGACAAGTTTAATAGCAGCCAAATTCAAATTAGAATTTGAAGAAACAATTCCAAAATCTGGGTTGAATTTTCTAAAATTCCCAAGATTCAAAAGCACTACTCTAGAGACAACCAGTATACAATAAAAAGTACATTAATACTCTTTTTATTAAAGAATTTTTTAAACTGAGTTATCTACAGCACAACAGATTAAACTAAAGAATAACTGTGTTCACCTTTGTAATCTAACTTATCAATTCTTATAAGCACTTTACTCTGAAACATACCATGCTTATTTTCAAAGAAGGACTCAGCAGAGATGTACGATGTATGCCACTGTGAAGAGACTTTGTTTTCTGCACAGTAGCCAGGAAGCAACCTGTTCACCAATTCTTTGAACTGGTTAGCTTTCAAATCAGACAATCCCAGATCTCTTAAATTAAATACAGACTGCAAAACAGAAATAAACATTCAAAATTTACTTAAGATTACCTTAGGAAAAAAAAATTAAGAGTAACTGAGTTAACTTTTTGGCTCAATACAGCATCTATATTTCACAGTTCAGACCGAAATAAAAAATTTGTCAATGAAGAAAAATGAATGAAAGGACATGATTAAAGAATGAGTATTTGTTACTGTCAATGCAGAATAAGTTTTCCATTTGCACACGTTGGTATTTATTTCATTGTCACAGTACGTTTATGACAAGCATATTTTCCTCCCAATTCAGCCTTTTCAACACCTTCGTGCTCCCCAACTAAAGCAGGCACAGAAAAAAAATGCAGTTTTCCAACTTTTTCTACTCTTTATGATAGAGCAAGTGGAGAGTGCAAGGGGAAAAGACATACAGCAATAGCCACCCATTACATTTCATCCATGTTAGCCAACAGCAAAATCCTCCCAACTTCTTTCTTATTTGGCTAGTCTTCTTGCAGATAGTACAGATTTAGCAGCAGCACAAAGACTGGATATTTAGAAACTATACCCAGAGTTAAATCTTAAAAACCCATGAGTTAGGCAGACACACAATGGAAGGCAAAAGTTTCTATGGGGAAAAGGGTAAGTACTAGGATCTGGGATTTCCTACAAAGCAAAGAAACTATTAAAAAAAACAAGGAGGTAAGGCACTTACACTTAAAATTACCAAAGAAGTAACCTTGATAAAAGTAATTTTAATCTTGTATTTTACAGATAGGAAAAAATCTTTCTATGGGAGAGTACATTTTAAAAATACATATTGGTTTGGACCCTTTAAAATATCTATTAGCCTCTCAATACGGCTTCTGCAGTAACATTTTCTTAACCAAGATGTAAATATTCAATTCTAAATGTATTTGCACAGATACTTGATTTTTGATTGTTAGAACATTATAGATTGTATTTTTGTTTTTCCTAAACTGTTTTTATATAAGCTTTACGTTGAAACTAGATTTCCAATAAAAAGACATACATGAAAAATACTTGAATAAAATATCAAAAGAAGCATTTTTAGAACAGATTCCTAGATGCATCCAGAACACCACCATATTCAAAGTGGATAGTTTAAAATGGATTTATTAAGTAAACAAAGTATTCTGTTTCAAAGGCTAGGGTAGATTGCTTCTGGACCACTTATACTCAAAATAAGTACTCATACATTTTTAAACTTAATTTGACTTCTACACATGGCTTAAAGGAGGAGATCAAGCCTTCCTACTTCAGTTTAATAATTGCTTGGAAAATTACTGAAATGCTAAGGGAAGGGAGAAGATTAAAAAATAATTTTTTAAAATAAAATTTAAAAATTTTAAACGTTTTCTGTGACCCTTCAGAAGAGGGTACTACTTCCAAATACAGATCAAACTTCGCAGCAAAGAGGCTTCACATTCTCAAATAATTATTTTTGCCATTCTAATAGTTCAACTTTATTCAATATTAGAACTGCATGTACTATGTCAGTATTTCCCGATTTTATGTTTGAGCTTAACCTTTATTTAAGCTTAGGTTTATTACAGTCTAATCAACTTGCTTTAAGAACTTTCTTTAAAAGCACTTTAGAGAGACTTCTTTAATTGTTATTTTTATACTTTTGTCATGCTAGGAGGAAGCAAACAGGTCTATGATGAATTAGAGAGGAAACATTAAATATGAAAAACCCTCTGTATTTAAAGGAGACCAGATTCTCTTGCTGAGTAGAAAGACAAATGCAGAACCGAATAAATGAAACACATTTTTAGTTTCATTCAATAATCCACATCTCCCACTGAAATCAAGTTATCACCAGAAGCAAATACAGAATCACAAAAAAAACCCCCAATCCACAAAAACAAAACCAATGGAATCACAACACAGGGATGATTAGTACAATCCATGCTAATTTCCAAAGTTCTGCAGTTAGCAAAAGACTCCATGTTTTTCCTTCCAAACATCTTCTGAAGTTAGAAAACTTGTTGTAAAAATGAGTTGAAAGAGAAGCAGCAAGATCTGATACTACTTTGCACTTCCTGTATTTTGATTTTCAATGTGAAGAACAAAAAATACCTAATGATAATGAAAGATATTTTAATAGAAAAATAAGAAAACATGCAAGTATGCTATTTAATCTCTAAAAATCCCTCAACGTATTTTAAGTTACAGTCAGTTTTCTCACAAAAAATAATGAAACAAACTTTGCTAAAACTCAGAGTGAAGACAGTTAAGTGGTTTATTAACAGAGAAGTTATTGTTAACTTAGAGCAAGAAACATTAAGTTGAAAGTGAAAACAAATCCCCTCCTCATTTGCAAACTGCTAACGAGACAAGTACTAGCTTTTTTCTTATTAATGAAATACTGTATTTTCATAGAATCCTTACCGCCAAAGCACCGACTAACTGAAGTTGTCAAAAAGTTACATTCTATGTGTTAACATTCTGTTTCGTTTAGTCACGTTACATTATTTTATAAAACAAGTCAAATATTAAATTCACTTAAACTGATAATACTCAGATTTAATTCGGTTAAAAGCAAACCACCACTTTTTCCAAAGGTTTTTAGTACCTCACTCTTCTGAGGATCATGCTCTGGGGAGGTGTCCCTCTGGACAGGCTGTATGGATGCTGTGCTGGCAGTAGTAGTGGAGCTTTTTGGTGAATGAAAGGCATTGATAAGGTGACTCAGAGGAACAGTAGCCTGGGGGGAAAAGAATAATTAATCAGATAACGATTTAAGCTTGTTTAAACTATTTAAACATTTCTCCATTCCAAACCCTTACTTATAATTGCATATTTTGTACACTGCCTTTTAACTGAGGACTTCATAATAAACCGCATGAACTTAGCTTCAACACCACAGTGTTAGCTGATACCTCATTTAAAGATTGATTTCAAGAAAGATTTAAAGCTGATTTGAAGAAAAAAAGACAGTTTAAGTATGCATGACAGAGTAGAAGTTCACAAAGCTTGGAAAAAAAAAAAGCTATATTTCCTGATTTTCAAACATAAGCATGGTTTAAAGAAAATAATCTCTAGATTTGCAAATACAGAAGTAGGTACAGATCACCAACACTCAGCAGATGCAAAGACTGCCCTCAGTTTGTACTTAAGACAATGTTTACTTACAAAAAATAAAGAAACAGACAAGAGTGTTCTCATCTGAAACAGCACGGAAACAAGATTGCTGCTACACTTAATACTTCCTTCACAGTATTTTTTTCTTTTTTTTTAATGTATCACTTGTTTGCTGTGTTAGATATGTGCTGTTGCAGCCAGATGACAGAACAATAAGGATTGTTACTGTCTTCTGACAAATATTACAAACTTAATCATTTCATGCAAATAAAATATAAAACGGTGAAACAATGTTTTTCCATTGTAGTCACCAAGCCCCCATCACAGTTCATTAACTTACATTCCAAATAGGTGTTTTTTCCCCACATTGCAATAAAAGACACAAAAAAGGAAACACAATCAACAGGGGGAGAAAAAGAGAGGAAAGCCAATACCAAACAACTTCTACACTGAAAAGTCAGCAAGTTGACACCATCCCTTGAAATGTTTAAAACCTGTTTCTAGTTACTCTCATTCAGGAACTTTCTCTTCTTTGGAAGAAGTGTTCACTGAAAAAAATCCTGAGCCTGTCTTGGTGTCTGCCAAGACAAAATGAAGATCACCATTCTGATAAGACTTCACAACACAGCCACAGAAGAGAAGTAATGTTCTTTAAACAACAGCAAAAGAATGGTAAATGAGGTACTGTATTTAGTGGTAGGCCTTAATTTCAGACTTTAATATGAAATATTATAACATAGTAAATTCTAGATTATCCCTGAACAGATATCCAAGCAACAGATCTCATCAAGCTGGTTCCCCTTGAACCAACTTGAACAGAAAGCTCAGTGCCTGCTTTTGAATAGCATTGAAATCATGAGGCTTTATCAACATCTTACTAATTCAGAGATCATCATTCATAAGTACTACTGACACCTGTATTATTTTCCAAACAACAATTATTTTCATCTATAAAGTAACACTTTTATAACCTGAAACATCTATATTTTTCCTGCATTATGTAAATTATTTCCAAAAGTCTCCTTTATGTTTTCTTCCTTGGGATCCCACTTTAGCAACATACCTAAGTATCAAACTAACATTCACAGTCAATCCTGCAGTTCAGCAGCACTCAGTCAGTTCAGTGACACCACCTCATGAATCAGTACAGAAGCCCAGGTACACCATGTATCAGGGCTCCTCCTCTAGCACATGACTACATCTATTGTGAATATATTGTACAAGTAATTCCTCCATCTCATTACACGTCACCAGGGAAGAGAGCTGGAGTGCAACTCTGGCTGCTGGAACAATACCTGACTGCACTACCTGATTAAGCCTCTGCCTATAAATGTCCTTCCACAAGAACTTCCATCCCTGTGTTGAATAGACAGAAGATCGAGAGACAATGCCGTGAGACATGAAAACTACCTCAGAATTAATTGTCCAAAGTTATAATTAAACTCTGGGAGTTTGTGGTAAAACTATAAAGCCTCCAGAAGTCAAAGCCAGTATCCCAACCACTAATCAAGCTTTCCTCCTGCATTTCCCATTATGAAAAGGTGGAATGACACAGTCCTTAAAATATCACCTTCAGTTCTGTCATTTCACTACACTAACAAAAGCAATTAACACATTCTCCACATCTGGAAAGAACAATCAAATCCCACTGTGTAATAAGACTATCACGTACTAATCCCCCTAACACAAAACATAAAAATAAAACCACTGCTTCAGATCAAAGTCCATAAAACCCACTAGTCCTATCTGATAAAAGGTGCCTTGCCAACTGCATCCAGACAGTTTGTTCTATGTAACAAATAATTGAGGGACTTTCCCCCCTCTAACTCTTCTAATTTCCATGTAATTTATCTGCGGTTTTCACAACAACCCGTGACAACTAACAGCACGGTTTAACTTCAGCTGTAATAACACCGCCCCCCCCCCCTTGCTTCTACTATAAAAACAGATACTAAAACGCGCCATCTCCAGGTTATTTCTTCATTTCAGATTTTACAAGCTTTTACTGGACTTTCCTTTCTCCTCCATTCACGTACTTTCTTCCTAGGTAAGACTCCTCGGCCGCTGTAGCCCCCACCCGCTCCTCTCCCCACTGCCACACTCGACGGGTGCCCCCACACCTCCTCCGCTCACGCCCGGTCGACGCTCTCCAAAGCCCCAACAACGTGGCAACCGGGATCTCGGCTCCTCCACCCGAGGCCCGCAACCCCCGCGCCTCCCGAGCGCCTCTGCCCAGCCCCGCTGCCTCTACCCGGACACGAAACGAGCCCCCGACGGCAGCCCGGTGGAGAGGGGGCCCCAAGCCGGCGAACCGCGAGCCCCCTTACCTGAGGCTGCACGGTTGAGAAGGAAAACATCCTTCACCGCGGGGGCGGCGGCGGCGGCGGCGACCACAGGCGCCTCTTCCGCTTCCCAGCCCAGACGTAGAAGCCGTGCCCGCCTGTCAGCCTCCGCTGCTCAGTCGCTGTGGTAGCCGCCGCCGCCAGCAGGAGGGCCCCACGGCTCCACAATTCAGGAAAATGGCCGCCCCCTACGGCCGGCAGTGACCAGGCCCCAAGCTGCCCCGGAAGCGGCTGGCGATCGTAGAGCTTCCGGGTCGCCTCTCCCTTTCCCGCGCAGCCGCAGCCTCGCAACCAGGTCGCGTAGCAACCCCTGTTTTCCCGCGTTTCCCGACTACGCCGCGTGCGGGATCAAACCATCAGTTACAGGAGGAGGAGGGGGGTGAGGGGCAAACCATCCTTGCGGGCAGGCCCGTCTGCAGGGGGAGCCGGCGGCCGGGCCGGGGCAGAGCCGGGCAGGGCGGCGGGGGCCGCCGGCACAGAAAGCAGCGGGGCTGGCGGGAAGAGGAGGAGAAGGAGGAGGAGGAGGAGTGTGGCGCAGCCAGGCCCCCAGGATGCCCAGGGCGAGGAGCAGCGAGGGCCCCGCGGGGCGCCCGCCAGGCCTGTCCCTGCCCGGCGGTCATCACCCCCGGGGAGCAGCCGGAGCCGGGCTCCTCTCACGAGTGCCGGGAAGGGCCGGTTCCTGACAAAGGGCGGCGGGTGACGAAGGCTGGCGGCGGGGCCTGCGGTCTGTCAGCTGAGCCGGCCGCGGAGGGCCAGCGGGGTGTCCACAGGGCGTGCTCGGGCCGTGCCTTCGTTCCGACACCTCTGCAGACGCAGGTGCTTTGAGCCCGAGGGCTTCCTCTGAACCCCCAAATACCGGGATGCCCGCTCAGACGGAGACTTCCAGCCAGCGGGGGGGGGTCGTTGGAAACAGGGCAGTGACAGCGTGCCCAGAGCAAGATGTGCCTGGGGAGCTGCCGCTGCAAGCACAGTGCAGTGTAGCTGCCCACTCCACAGGGTATCAGCGGCAGGATCACCATCAGCACAGCCACTGCACGTGCAACATATTTGCACGAATATGTGTCATTTATCACCACTCAGGATGCCTTCCTGAAGTACTGAAAATACCTTGCAGGGAGTTAGGAGTGTACCACAGGTAGAAAAAAAAAACTTCACAAATTAAAATGTGTATTGGTAACTTAAATACTGTTACTCAGTTCGCATCTAAATAAAGGCACAGGCATCTACATATGGCAGAACCTGCTCTTCGATATTCATCCTTTTTCTATGCCTTATGCTATTTTTCCTATGCGCTCTCCGATTATTTTGGGGTTTTATTAGCATTTTCTTTCTTTCACCTGACCACTGTTACTCACTGTTCTTCCTTTCCTCACTGAAAGTGCCACCCCACACCAACTTACACTGATTACACAGTGCTGCCTCCCCCTGCCTTCACGCACATCTCTTGTTTTCCACTAACACTCTCATGATCACAGTTGTGTGGCTCAGCTAGCTGATTTGGCAGAAACCTCACCCAAAACCAACAAAAAAACCTAAAAGGTGATGAACGTTTACATGGATCCACCCCATGAAGCAGTTTTCCACGCAGCTGTACAATGGCTCATGCTGCCTTGAGGGAAGGGAGAGAACACACAGGTTCTCTGTTAGATGAGCTTAGGCTGTAGCAGAATACACGCTGCCTGACGGTAGATTCACAACTGGCATAATCTGATGTCGGCATGTGATACCACCAAAAGGAGCAATCCCCCCTGCTCTCAGCTGGGCTTCTCTGCTGAAATCGCTGCCGACGAGACACAGCTAAACTAATGCTGCAGAGTTAAATGACAAATACAGCCAATGATAAATTGTATTTAATACCATTATAGAAAGCTAATTTAAAACATGTTTTCTACATTTGTGCTTTAAATTGCATCTATTGCTGGGATCTGTGGGATAGCAGCACTCCTTCACAAGTACAAGGAAGGCCTCCCTGTGCATTATCGGATTATAAGTGATGTATTTTAAAGCAAAACAAGAGCCTGATGAGACTAATCTACTGTGTTAATAGAGACCCATAGTTCTGCACTGACCTCCGTAGAAATAGCTCTTTGCTGGTGTAGAGACTGCAGCAGAACAATTAAGATCTGTGTGAATCAATTATGAACAGCAATGTATATGTGAAAGCAACTGTTCTGGTTTCAGCTGGGATAGAGTTAACTGTCTTCCTAGTAGCTGGTACAGTGCTGTGTATTGAGTTCAGTATGCGAAGAATGTTGATAACACTGATGTTTTCAGTTGTTGCTCAGTAGTGTTTAGACTAGAGTCAAGGATTTTTCAGCTTCTCATGCCCAGCCAGCGAGAAAGCTGGAGGGGGACAAGAAGTTGGCACAAGACACAGCCAGGACAGCTGACCCAAACTGGCCAAAGGGGTATTCCATACCATGGGACGCCCCATCTAGTGTATAAACTGGGGGGAGTGGGGGCGGGGGGGATCGCCGCGCAGGGACTAGCTGGGTGTCAGTCGGCAGGTGGTGAGCAATTGCACTGCGCATCATTTGTACATTCCAATCCTTTCATTATTGCTGTTGTCATTTTATTAGTGTTATCATTATTAGTTTCTTTTTTTCTGTTCTATTAAACCATTCTTATCTCAACCCACAAGTTTTACTTCTTTTCCCAATTTTCTCCCCCATCCCACGGGGTAGGGGATGGGGTGAGTGAGCGGCTGCGTGGTGCTTAGTTGCTGGCTGGGGCTAAACCACGACAGCAACATCAAAGCAGTAAGGCAAGGGTTAAAAGACTGACCAAGAGCACAACTGAGAGCAGTAAAACTGGTAAACACTGAGGACCTTGCTGTGTAAACTGAGAGCAGAAGGCCCGCACTCTGATAAGGCGCTGTCACAGATGGATTTGTCAGAAGGCCTGCGCTCTGGGAACAGGAGGATGGCAACAAGGTCAGAGCACACTGTAAATGCCACACCTGTCCCTGCTGTCACAACAGGAAGGCAGAATGTAGCCATGGAGATATCCAAAATAAGGAAACAGAGAAAATGGGGAACAACCCTGCCTAAGATTAATGGAGGCTGAAGTCATCAAGAATTGGAGGGAAGCAAAATATCACATTATTCTAACTCCTGGTCATAAAAGACCTGCTCAGAAAGCAGTTTGTCATCACCAATCCAGAGGATGCCAAGACAGTAAGGGCTCAACAGCAATAGTAAGGGCTGGATAGGAAGCGTACTCTTACACAGAAGCCATCCTGGCTATAGCATTTGGACGCACATCTCTTGGAGCCTGTGAGTATGCAAGCATGAGAAAACGTGAGTGAAGCATATGAGAAAATGAGTCTCTGGGACCAAAATCAGTTGTGTCTTTCTAAATAAATACTACCTTCCAGTTCCTTAAGGTCTCACACCGAGTTCTGCTGAATTCCTACAGCTTCAAGCACCCCATTGAAATGAGACGACAGTCTACCTGGTCACAGCAAGAACAACCTACTGCCAAATTGGAAACCTAGACCGGGTAGTATTTAGCAGGATCGAAGCTTTGGCATTTTGTCACAATGAAACGCTCTTAGAAACCCAAACAAAACCAACCACAGAATGAATCCTGTAGAGTTTTTTTAATTGCTGGATACAACGAAGAGAACGACAAAATTTTTAGGGTCCTTCTGGCCAAGCTGGGAAGGCTGTAATGAGGCAATGCAGTTTAGGCAGAGATAGTGACAAGAGCCTACCAGAAACACTAGAGCAACACTCACAAGCCTCGAGGGCAACGTCGCAACCAATTTATTCAGCTCATCTCTGTCAACAATAAACACCTAACTCCTTCTGGTTGCGAGTAGAACTGAGCACGCTGCTCACCAGATACCACCGGGAGCAGCACCGTACGGGTGAGACCGGAGGACGGTCATCGCAGCAGCCACCACCATGCAGAGGCCTGGGCAAACGGCAGCCATGGTGTCTCTGAACGGCGGCGGGCGCGCCCCGGGGCGGGTACGTGAAGCGCCCCAGCGTTACCCTGAGGCGGGAGCGAGGGGGCTGCCCGCCGCAGGGCCCTCGGCGGCCGGCCGCACGGGAAGGCGGGGCTGCGAGGCACAGCT